GAGGTAATATTGTGTAAACCCCTTCCTCTTTTTTCCTGTAACCGAGAGGGAGAATCTTCTTGTCAGGATGAAGTTGGATTGGTAGATGACTTGTCAGATAAAAACTTTTACTCCGCTCAAAAAAATCTGTTAAAATTTAAAAAAAAAATCCGAATTTCATAGATATGGGAGATATACGAAAAAGTTAACCAAATTACGCCGAAAAATATAGCAGAAGTCGTCAAAATACCGAATATCTTGAGGTACAGTTATATGTAAAGTTCTCTGCAAGGATGTTAAGTATACTGGGAACAGAAACTGCAAATGTACAACAAATGTAGACTAACATTTTTACTTAAACATCCAAAAAATAAACTTAAAAAAAATTCCACGAACCTGAAATACATTTGAGTAAAATTTTGCCACCTATTTTCATTTCGTTCGAAAGCTAGGCTGATTTCCACCAATGGACGGATATGGCTAAATCGGCATAAAATCTGATACTGATCAAGAATATATAGACAGGGTGAGATGAAAAAACTGCAACCAACTTCAGACTGCTGTCATTTCTAAGCCACTCGTCCCAGAGCTGTTAATATTATTCCAGTGACAGCTCATTATATTGTTTACGAGCGTACAAAAGTTTATTCGTGATGGAAATCAAGCGTGATAGTGTGATTTCTTTATATTTGGCTGGAAAACCACAAGTGGCTATCGTTAGAGCACTCCAGCATTTAAATGTGAATAAGTCTTTTGTGTCTCGTACCATTGCTCGTTACCGTGATACTGGTAGCGTAGCCCGACGTCAAGGAAGTGAACGGAAGAAAACAGCAACATCAGCAAAATGGTTCGAAAAGTAAAGAAGCGACTTGATCGAAACCCGCGTCGCAGTGGCCGAAAAATGGCTCGTGAGCTCAACATATCGCAATATTCCATTCGGCAAATATTGAAAAATGAGTTCGGGGTAAAGCCATTGAAATTCCAAAAAGTGCAAGAACTTACACCGCTACAGAAAGAAAATAAACTTGAAAGAGCTAAAGAGTTGCTTCGCTTGGCCAAAAGTGGTGAATTACGGAATTTGGTTTTCTCCGATGAGAAAACATTCGCTGTCCAGCAGTTTGTAAACAAACAAAATGATCGTGTTTACTTGCCAAAGAGGTCAGCTGAAAATGTGCACCTTCGGTTGGCCACCAGAACTCAAGCGCCGGCCATGGTTATGGTGTGGGCCGCCATAACAGCCGATGGTCGCTCACCGCTCGTACTAATCGACCGTGGCATCATAATAAATGCCGAATATAATCGCAAAAATTTTGGCCGCAGACCTTGGACATTCCAACATGACTTGCTCTCAGCAAAGTGATGTTCCTCGCTTCATTTCCAGCGAACAATGACCACCAAAATCTGCGGATACCAATCCGTTGGACTATTGTGTCTGGAGTATTTTGGAAAGCAAAATACCAAAGTGTCGATCACCTCAAGACCAAGCAGACCAACATTCGGGCAGCTTGTGACGGTTTCATTGGCCGTTTGAAGGCCATAATTCAAGCCATAGGTGACCAATTCGAACAAATCTAAACTTATTCTAAAATTTGATGCTATTTCCGACATTTTTTGTTTCCATTCAATAAAATTGAAAAAAATGTAAAAATTATGGCGTTGTCTTTGTTGCAGTTTTTTATCTTACCCTGTATACGTTGTGGGTGTCTGAAATACCTATTTCGAGAAATTACAAACGGAAAAAAATTAATGTGCCATCCATAATATGGAAGATGGTACAATTAACAAGTAAATAAATGTCAAAAGTCTGTCAAGAACGAATTTAGGATACTCTGGACCACTATGCATATACCAGCAGTCTTATTCATAAGACAAATTCCAGTGGTGCCTTCGCTGGGTTTCCTTTCGACAGAAAGAAAATACACTCAAAAGAGCTAAAGAGTTGCTTCGCTTGGCTGAAAGTGGTGAACTGCCGAATTTGGTTTTCTCCGATGGGAAAACATTCCTTGTCCAGCAGTTTGTAAACAAACAAAATTATCGTGTTTACTTGCCATAGAGGTCAGCTGAAAATGTGCACCTTCGATGTAAAAATTATGGCGTTTGACTTTGTTTTTTATCTCACCCTGTACATGTCGCAATTATTGTCCGATCCTTACGAAATTTTGCATGGGGTAGGGTTAGGCTCACAGACCTCACTCTCTTCTATGAAGCAGAAGACAAACTTAAAGAAGCTATTGAAAAGCAGAAAAGATCAAATTTTGGCAATTTTATTGACCAAGTATCAACAACATCAACTTCACGTCAATTCTGAAAATTGACAAAAAATCTTAAAAATTACAAAGTAAAAAAAAGCACAAACCAATCATGGACTAAGGATAATCAGGAAAAATATTTAAATTTAATTGCCAGTCATGCTAACAACAACGACGTCAATGATCAACCCGAACCTGTATTTAATGTTACAAACAACACCACTATTATTGGCAACAATGACCCTTCACCACAGTCTTTTCTTGGTAATGACAACAACACCAATGACAATCAATCAATAAGTACCAACAGTATCAAGCAATTTTTCGGCAATACCATCATCCAATCAATTCCACAACAGTAACACCCAATCATTTCACCCTGGCAACATCAACACTGTTCTTAATCACACTCTTTCAGAACAATCTTTTAGAATCATTCACCACAACAACATTGACAACGAACAGCCTGTATTTCGTTTTACCTACAATGACTTTTTAACATTCTTGAAATCTCGTAATCCAGATTCGACTGCTGGACCAGACTCAATTTCGTACCGTTTTGTAAATTTCCTGTAAGAAGAAAGCAAAAGAAACCTCTTTTATATTATTTTTAATATTTGGTCCAAAAGGTCCATACCAGAATGTTGGAGATACATCAAAGTAACTCCTATTCCCAAAAAGGGGAAAGATCCAGCCAAAATAGAAAATTACCGGCCAATCTCCCTGCTATGCGTACCCTTAAAAATTCTCGAATCTGCAATCAAAACCCACATCCAGAATCAGTTAGATGGTCTCAACATACTAGCTAGCATGGTACAATGATATCAAGGTAGGGCTATGATACCATATGATTTCAATTTTTTTATTTTCTTGGCTTAATATGTCATCTTTATTTGTTTATGTATGTGTTTTCTTTTCAATAACAAAAAAATTGTTCAGAAAACATTCAAATTCGGATGTTTTTAAAATGTTTATTTCATCGTATGCATCGCCCAAATCTAGAGATATATAGAAACTGGTTTTGAAAAGAAGTGTTGACCTTTCATTCAGTTTTCGCGGTTTTCAATTATTTATTCAAAATAAATGCAACAAGTTGTTTGATTTTGTTATTGTTTTGATACTATTTCTGACATTACAAGCCAAACAGGTAGACCTCTATACTTGCAATTTTTTCAAAGTTGACCTACCTTCTCTTCATTGTACCATGCTAGCTAGTAGAACTTATGCTTACAGGTGTGGGCGATCGACATCAATGTGCATTAACGACCTCATAAATTGCGTTCAATCGTTAAAATCCTCCGTTTATCATGTACTTGGCTGCTGCTTAGATGTTGAAAAAGCTTATGACTGCACAGACGCAACAACATTGGCAAATAGATTGCTTGAAATTGGAATCAACACAAAAATTGTAAAATGGATATATGAATTTCTTATAAATAGGACTCTATGTCTAGAAAGGAAGAAAGTTGTTGTTAAGAATGGTCTTGCTCAGGGAAGTGGTCTTAGCCCCATTCTTTTTAACCTCTACACCACCAATCTTCACAGGCTTAATTCAGATAATTACAAGCTGTTCCAATTTGCAGACGATTTTTTTAATTTTAACCTATGACAAAGATTTCGAAGTCGCTCGAGCATTACTTCAAACCAAAGTTGAAGAATTTGATGAAAAATGCACGTCAATTAACCTACACTTCAACCCAGGCAAAACCCACGTCATTCATTTTAATAGGAAAAGTCGTGACTTCACAATAAATTGCAATAGTACGTATATTAACCAGGTCCGAAAAATTAAATTCTTAGGATTGTTTGTAGACGCGAACAACTCGGCTAAGCATCATTTTGATGAAACCCTCTTTGAGGTAAATCGGAAGTGTCAGTTCTTAACGACGCTTAGTGGTGTAGTTTCGGAATTGACCCTGTCAAAGCACTAACACTGTATAGAAGCCTGGTAAGGTCTAAGATAGAATACGGTTCGGCAGCATTGGCTAATGCCAGTAAAACTAGCTTGGATCAAGTCAAAAGGTGTTATAACAATCATTTAAGAAAATCGTTGTGTCTTATCAGGTCAACTCCTGTTAACATCATTTATCAGCTGGCAGCTGAAATCCCACCTAAATGGCGGTTCGAGCTTACAGTGGCAAAAGAACTTGTTAAATCATTTGCATTTGAACTGCCTATTGAAAATACTATTTTGTCAGCTAGGCAACCTATAAACACAAGCGTATTCAAATACAGAGATCTACTAACATTCAACCATTGCACACAACAACTGCATTGATTTTCAACATTACAATATACAAGGATTTCTTTGATGGTACGGTTGCTAAGAAGTCTCTTGCAAATCAAGAAATTATTTCATCTCTATTTAATAAGAAAAAAAAACTATCAGCTGCAGAATGCAATAATTTTGAAATAATCTTCACTGATGGATCTGTTATGGATTCTTGGACAGGTGCCGCTTTCATTCATCATAACTCGGGCACAGTATTCGCCTTCTATGAAGAAAAAAAGCTGTCTTCAATGTCCGCTGAATTAATGGCTATTATCAAAGCAATTGAATTTGCTATAAACAACAACTTTCTGAAAGTGGCAATATTTTCTGACAGCTTAAGTGCGTTGCAAGCTATATCATCTATTAATCATAGGAATTACTTAGTACACAGGGTGTGGTCGTTGGCTTCAGATTTCGGTGGTGCTGTCGATCTTCATTATATTCCTGGACACTCCAACATCAGACTGAATGAAATAGTTGATCAGGCAGCAAAAGGGAGAAGGAAATTGGTTCTCGTTGGAATTTGTCTTGGTCAATAGCTGATGCCATCGCAAAAATAAATGGTGACCTTTGGAAAGAATGGGATGAAAATTATCAAGCCGAAGCAGCCAGAAGTAGTTCTCTTTTCTACAAGATGTTTCCAAAAGTGTCAAGAAAAACATGATTCCATAATTCTACTGGATCTCCTATAAAATGTAAACAAATAAATAGAATTCTTAGCGGACATTGCTTCTGCCCTGAAACGCTAGCAAAAATGAATGTTAAACCATCCTCGTTATGCGAATCTTGCCATGTCGATGAAAATGCATCTCACATCCTATTTGTATGTCCCAAATACAACAACGAACGAGGAAAAATACATGAACTCAGTGGTGTAGACACAATTGACGAATTTCTCAAAAGCAATGGCCTCTGCAGCTATCCATTCTTAGTGAATTTCTGGACTCCATCAACTGTCAGCTGTAAACAACTAGCAACATCCAACTAGGCAGAAGTAACGAATAAACCGAAAAAAAAATAAACAAAACAATTATGCTAAGGAAAAGGCCTCGAACGAAACAAACAAAAGGTATTTAACTTCCAAGCAACTGCTGTTGGCAAGATTAACCCACATTATTTCTCTCAGAAATTGGCAATGGACAAATCCTACCTACCCGAAGCAATGAGAAAGTTACCGTACAATACATTCAGCCACAAAGTCGAATGGCGGTCAAATCCACCAATCCCTCCGCCGGAAAAGAGTTGGACACATCACATGAAATCTTGGAGATAGAAAATGTTGAATACCTGGAAGAAGTTTCAAGTGCAGACGACGTCAATGATGCTGAACAATCACTCCCATTACCCAAAGTTGAAAAAGAAAATGAAGATCCATTTTACCCAAATGCCATATATTGCCTTTTGGATTTGTATAAGGAGAAATATCACAAAACCCTGATGAGAATGAATGAAAATGTGTCTATCCAAACGCTGGTAGAAATCTGGCGAGGTATTGCCAAAGAAATGCAGGAGAGTTATTTTGAATTTGAAGCAGAACAAATTCAACGGAAATTTATTCAACTCAGGAGACAATATTTCGACGTTAAAACAATGGAGGATATTGAGAATTTGGAATATTTCGAAGAACTTCACACTATTTATATGGATGCCAAAATAGATTCCATTTTTAAGGGTCACAAAGTTGATAAGCCTCTGAATTCTAAAAACTACAACGATGCCGTTCTTATGAATGTAGAAATATTCTTTCAAAGTGAAGAAATCAAAAACAATGAACATGAAATTATTGATTTGGAGGAAAAAGAAATTCAGGCCATGGATAGAAGGCAACAGTTATTAGAAGAAAAACAACAAGCACACATAGAAGAGCATAATCATCCACAATCAGAGCCAGATCCACAAATAGTTATAACAGAACCTCGAAGTAATATTTCCCAAACGAAACCCCATAAAAGATTTTTTCATGAGACCTTCAGCGAAAGTATAGAGCAGCCAGTAAAACAGAAACCCAAATTGGAAACTGAATTAAAAACTACAGAAAATATTGCCAACCAGCAGTCATTAATCTGCAATGAAGTTAATGATATCAAACAGTTAAATGCCGAACAAGAAAGAAGACATCGTGAACACATGGCTTTATTGGAAAAGCACTTCCAAAAGCAAACCGCCTCCCTGGAACAACTCAATTTTCACTTACAGGAACTTATTAAACGTATGTCTATGACACCATCATAATTTATTGCATTATTTCTTTTAAACTACATAATTTAATTAAGCATTTCATCTACCACCATAAGGCAAATCATCCATTTCTATCTTTTGGGTTTCGAATATTTTCTGCAGTTCATGTTGCAACAATTCATGCAACGACTCTCCAGTATGACGGTATACCCATTTACCTGATATACCAGATGATTCTCCCACAAAATCATAACGTTTAGGACCACTGGTTGGAGAACTTAACCATATTTGGCGATTGGGTGTCTGGCGATTGATAACATATGTGCCGTGTTTGCCCAAATTAACAGTCAACACACCATCCTTTTTGCGAAAGAAAAAAAAAGTTGAAAATAATTCAAAATATTTTTAATCTTTTTGTGACTTACACTATATGCCAGATCACTGTCGGGTATTGACTCGACACTTTCCAGCAACTGTTCAAAGTAATCATTTAGGCCATCCAATGTCTCAACACAAACTCGTTCATAGGTTGCGTGATCGAGAATCGAATCGACTACATGTTCTGTGGGTTGTTTGGTGTTGTTGGAGGAGTAGCAATGTTGCTGCTGCACATAATTTGTTACAACAGTTTGCCGGGGCAATTTTGTGCATGTCAGCGTAGTTATATATTTAAGATTTCTTTGATTTCTGCAGACATTTCGAATGGCAAATGAAGATAACCGGCTGAACATTTTTTTATTTTCGAATCCTGCACAGCTGTTTTTCAATATTTTGACATGTTCTACCGTCGTTGCAGAGTTGCCACAGTTAAGACAATTTCATAGAAATGTAATAGAACATAGCAGTTGCCGTGGTAATGAATACAGTTATTAGATGTTTACACAAGATAAATTAGGGTGTATGACATCGTAGAATACAGTTAGATGCATCAACGCTTGGGAACATGGTAGAAGCATATAGGTAGACGCGTCGACACAGCTGCTGGGACAATGAACTGTCAAACCAATTTTGAAATTGAAAATGTTGAATGAAAAATTATTTAAAATTATAAAAATTGTTGAAAAATGCGAATTATAATAGCCTCCGAATGACGTAGTATAAGAAAACTTATAAAAATCTACTTATATTTGAAAAAACATTTAAATTTTTTTGACATATCAATGCTCCCAAGCGTTGATGCATCTACCTGTATTCTTCTGTCATGAGGTAGACGCATCGAAACGAAAGAAAACATATAAAAAATGCAACTCTATACCGGAGTCTAATATGGTCGGCTCATTTTTTGGCTCAATTAATGAGTAAATTATTGATTTTGGAGTGGAGATCGGCCACAGGCATTGCAAATCATACCAATGCAAAGCGCTACCAAAATGAAAAAGCTAGAGTTGCATGATGTGTGGTTTTAACACAACTGTGTCACACGCCACACAGCACGCGCATCCAATTGCCTGCTTAGATCGTGCCATGGTAGAAGAATATAGGTAGACGCGTCGACACAGCTGCTGGGACAATAAACTGTCAAACCAATTTTGGAATTGAAAATGTTAAATGAAAAATTATTTAAATTTGTAAAAATTGTTGAAAAACGCGAATTATAATAGCCTTCGAATGACGTAGTATAAGAAAACATATAAAAATCTACTTATATTTGAAAAAACATGTAAATTTTTTTGACATATCAATGTTTCCAAGCGTTGATGCATCTACCTGTATTCTTCTGCCATGGATCGTGCGATTTAAAGTCTCTAACCTATTTCTTGTAGGGCTATGTTAAAGCCCATACCTATACAGACGAGCATTGAAGAGTACGTGGGAAAGAGTATGTCAAAATTGGTGATGGACCTTTTGAGGTCAACATTTGCATGAAATAATTTTGAAACATTAGATTATATGGACTGTTATATCAATTTAAATAAAGATTTTATGCAATATTCTGAATAATAAGCATTTAAAAAACTTTTCTTTTTACAAAATACGACTGGGCTGAATTTTTTATACTTTACGCCATGACGAAATGAGAACATTAGAAAATATAACCTATTGTCTTATCTGTCTTAAATGGTAATTTAACATGATGCTCAAAGTCTTAGGAAAATTTCACTGAGTCAACATCCTTTTGAGGCCAGTCTCTCGCATTTTGTAATTTTTTTTTGTATTTTTGATTGTGAAGGAATCTACATTTTAAAAGATAACAACCTCCGACTGTCTTCGTATTGGAAAACATATACATATCTTTATAAATTTATAGAAACAAAATGACAAGTTAATGATCCCAATCTTAATGCATCTACCTGTATTCTTCTATCATGGTTATTCTTGTCCGTAAGTAATTAAGAAATATGTTTATATGATCTTGTGGCCTAGCATTATACGATTGAGTAAATAAAAAATGTCTAATTGCTGTCATGCAATGCTGCAAAACATATAATGTTGTATATATGAGCCCTTCTGTATATAACTTTTTCCTTTTATTGTCCCTATTTTGTCAATTTTATAGATAGAGTAATAAGAACGTAATTTGAGATGATTTCAAATTCAATTATAACAAAAAACAAAAATTTAATCGGTAATGTAAAGTGGAAGAGTGGAAAAGATTCTTATATTATCTTATATTCAATAACGTGGAATTTATCTTCTGTGTTTTCCCTAATTTAAAAAAAAAAATGTAAAATATTCAAAACCATTGTTGCACACTTTAAAACTATATATGACATTATACAAACCCTCTACAAAGTTCCCATTTTTCCCAATTCATTTAAAGATAAATAACCTTTCTGGTTTTGACATGAATCTACCACACAAATTCAAGATAGTTTTAATTGTTGGTTATTATTTGTTTCCTACTTAATATGATTTCTTTCATAGCTCAACAAAGAAGGTTGCTCAACTTCAAAGAAACTAAACATTCAACTCTTTGCTGTAGGGTTATAGTGTCAAATAGACTTTTAAATATGCAAAATTACTGTATTTATGGGCTAGCTTTCTTCTACCTTCTGTAATTGTGCCATGACTTCTTTCACAATAATCCGCTTTTCATTTAATTCAATACTCACACGTTAAGGAACACAACTATCATCTGCATTATGTGCTGAGTTTTTGTAATGTATCGACAATCTGGCAACATTGTCTCCTCGCAACACATATACATCTCTGACACCGTTTGACAAACGATTGTAGTAGATTAACGGCGTCGTCATTTGACAGCCACAAAGTTTTTCCCTTGTACAAGAAAAAATTTGTGATTTTTGCGGATTTCAAGACAAAAAAGGCACAACAAAAACAGAAATATTGTAAAAGAAATAAAATAAAGGTCAATATTTTCAGTAGAGACAAGCAATGTCTCTGCCAAGTAACTACAAACAAATTGCACCAGCTCAACCGGCCACACCGGCTGGTAGCACTGGCGGCGGTAGCAGTGGTGGTGGAGGTGGAAGATCTCGCTCTTCTGGCGCTGGTTCCGCATCGGAACGGACCAAAGACAACACTCCAATATTCACACATAGCAACTATAGTAATCCGGCATTTACTCCACTGAAAGCTGGCAAGTCATCATCATCGAAAAATCATGTGGAAGGTCGCGGTCCAAAGCCCCCTAAGCCACCAGAGAAGCCAATTCTACCCTACATGCGTTATTCCAAAAGGATATGGGACAGTGTTAAAGCCCAATATCCCGATTTAAAATTATGGGAATTGGGCAAGAAAATAGGTGCGATGTGGAAGCAGCTCACGGAGGCTGAAAAACAGGAATTTGTGGACGAATATGAAGCCGATAAAGCGGAATACGAGAAAACATTGAAAGCTTATCATAGTTCGCCGGCTTACCAAGCTTATTTGGCTGCCAAAGGTAAGACTAAACTCGATATTGATTTACACGAGACACCATCCCGTGGTGGTGGCGGTGGTAAGGGTCAGCAAGAAAGACGTATAGATATTCAACCAGCCGAGGACGAAGACGATCCAGATGAAGGTTACTCCTTCAAGCATGTCGCCTATGCTCGATATTTACGCAACCATCGTTTGATAAATGAAATTTTCTCTGATGCTGTTGTGCCAGACGTCCGTTCAGTGGTCACCACACAACGTATGCAGGTCCTGAAACGGCAAGTTAGCTCTTTGACAATGCATCAAACTAAACTTGAGGCGGAGCTACAGCAGATGGAAGAAAAATTTGAAGCCAAGAAACAAAGGATGATGGAATCTAGCCTAGCTTTCCAAGAAGAGTTGAAACGTCACTGTAAACCAGCCGTCGATGAAGATACTTTCCAGAAAATGGTGCAAAAGATCTACGAAGAAATGAAACGTGAACGCCAACGTTTGTTAGACGATCCAAATGCTGGTAAACTGCCAGCCATAGGCGGAGGCCCGGTGGCCGCTGCAGCAGGTGGTGCTACAGCTCCAACGGCAACACCTGGCGGCGTTGAACCGAAAAAGGATAATCAACCTGCTGCACTGGCTCCAACCATGACACCATCTGGGCCTCCGGCATCGGGCGCCGTAGCTATTCCACCAATAAAACCACCACATGAATCTGGCAGTAAAACAGACCATGAGCCAATGGATATTGAACCGCCAGTAAAACCAACAGCACCAATTGCTCCGAAGCCGGAACCGAAGTTGAATGAAAATACAAGTAAACAGAAAGGATCTTCAGAATCGGGCAAAGATTCACCAAAACCCAAGGGTGGAAAGAACTCGACTGCACAACCAACACTACCATCCTCAAATAGTGCTCCACCACCACCTGCTGGAGAGCAGCCCCTACCGGCAACTGTACAGCAACAAGCTGCTGGTGTAATACCACCAAACGTAACAGCACCTCCAAACATTTCGGCGCAGCCACCACCGGCCAACCAACATGTTCCACCCACATCTGCCGCAGGTCATCAGCCACCACCACTCCATGCTCCGAGCAATATGCCACTCATGCATCCGCATCATGCACAACCTCCACCACCACAACAACATGGCGGCCCAGCACCCCCACCACCATCCCACTTACCGCCACACATGCAACCCCATCCACAGGCTCCCATGGGTTCTATGCCACCACATGGACCATATGCCCAATATGGACCGGCGCCAACTGGACCCACCCGTTCGCCCTATTATCAGCCACAGTATGGAGCTCATCCACCACCACAACAACCATACGGTCAATATCCACCATATCACTATCAACAACCCTACGGCCCACCACCAGGTTCTCATTACATGAATTCTCGGCCTCCACCACAACACAATGGCGGAGCGCCTCCACCAGGCGCTCACTATGCACCCGAACATGTTGGCGGTCCTCCACCACCACAATCACAACCTGGTGGACCGCTGGGACCACCGCCTCACATGGCCCCACATGATGTCTATGGCCAGCAGCCACCACCACAACAGCAGCAGCCACCTCCTACCGGCCATAATCCATTGCCACCGCAACAACAGCCATTGCCGCCGGCTGCACCTCCGACAACAGCAGCCCCAGCAGCTGCTCAACCACCACCAGCCGATGACGGTGGACCACCAAAATCAGAAACCGAAGAAAGCAAAGCTGAATAAATGTTGATGTCGGGGAACAACAATTATACTTTTAACTCGTAATAATTTTAAAACATAGCTATTAAGATCTTCTTTTTGTATTAATCACCTATCACAACCACAACATATTACCTACCACTCATGATATGATGTCTACAAACGAATAAGTAACTTGAATCACAGTTTCTTTGTCAATCTCCTTTTCTCTGTATGTGTATCTTAACGAAATAAACAGAAACAAAAAAAACACTACTGTGGATTGTAATGGAAGGACACCTCTTAGGAAAAAATGTTGAGTATATAGGTTTACCCTTTGAAGTAGATCTGATTATTGCAGAGAAAATCAGAATAAGGTATGGGCCCATTTTACGCCAAATGTTGGAGGGTATAAAAATGAGCATGAAATCACAGGTTAAATGAAACGGATTTGACTTGTCAGAGTTAATAAATAAATATCCTTGTGTATAGGCTACTTATAAAAAGATTCTGCTCATTTTTTTTAAATTTAACCGATAATAGTGAATGTTTTCTTTTTGTATGTCAGCAAACAAAAAAGATTCTAAGGTTTACTTATAGATGTTGTCAACTTTGTATTCCTTTTCACAGTTTGGCTGTGCCAAAAAGAATCCCTCTGCTGGTTTAATCTTGCATAAAAAAGGACACCAGAAAACAGAATCGAAAAGATTTTGGAAATTGTCGCTTAAATTTTAAGAAGCGTCATTAGAAAAATATTTTTGATGTCAAAAAATCTGCTCATGTAGTAATTATTTTCCTGTTCAAGGAATAAATGACAACAAATTATATTGAAATAAACTAGTAAAATAGACGAAGTATTCCACAAAAAAATTGCATTCGATTTTACTGAAGATATGTCATCTTAAAAATAAGCTACACAGATTGCAAACAAATAAATAAGGAGATTTCACACACGCACCCGCTATATCTTGAGAATTCAACTCATCGAATTTGTCCTTCGGTTTCTTAATGTGCTTTTCAAGCCCTTTCATCGAATTTTCCTGATATGCAAAACATTCCTTGATACCTCACTGCCCGCATGATGTAGTCCACTAGGGTTATGGTAGCCCAATCTACCTCATACGATAGGGTTATACTTTTTTTACTTTCCATTTCCAATAGATCCAAATATTTGCTTATTAGCCCATAAAGTCTATAACATGTTAATATGATTTACCTATGTACGCTATCTGCTGATATCGATAAAGTTTTTTTTTAACAGCTTTGAATTTAACAAAAAATATTAATATACAATGATTGGTATTGAAAGTGGGACTGATCGGTCCGTCTGTGTTAAGCCCACATTTAAAGCAGTCTTTCGATTTTTATATGTTAAAGGTATTACCCATAATGTCGGGTTTCAAAATCTGTCCTCCAGAAAATTTCCAATATATGCATATAGTCATTCCAACCGAGTGAAAGCGTTTTAGAAAGAGAGAATGAATGAAAGTTCTTATTTAAATACTAATATATTCTAGAAAATGCAGTTTTTTGAGAAGCTTCATAAAAAAGCTCGACCTTATTCATTGATGTTGCCAAAGGACAAAGACCTGATAATGGCAATAGCTATACATTTTTGCACATATATTTCGCTTGTTTGACCTTGAGGCAAGTTATTGGTGTTTCGAAGGTTCTACCTAAATATTCTTGCGGAATAGCCAGCAATTTAACATTCGTAGCGAGCTGAAAGCAATCTTAGGTTTACCGGTTCTAGCATATCGCTCATGTAACGATAATCCCAACATTTTAGCAAATTTAGAGCTAACCTGATTGGCTATAATTTTATTTATCCAGTCAATTCTGTCTATTCCTCTACAAATTTATTGGTTCTCTACAAATTAAAAACGCTGAACGTCGGTTAGGAAATTTACTAAAAATTCCACTTACCTTACTCAGCAATTATCACAGCGAAATGTTTTGTTTCTTTTCTTCTTTGAACACAAAATGACACATTTTTTATGTCCACACTTTTTAATAATATGAAAAGATTTTGAAAATGTAAATTCTTTAATAAATTTTCTGAAATAAATCCCTATTTGCAATGTTAACCGATTTTTGGCGCATTCTAAGCTTTTGCGACGGTATTACCATCTTTAAAAAATAATTCTATAAGTTTGACGGATGGCTTGCACAGCACTGCCAGAACAACATTGTGATTACGACAGGGTCTCTATTATTATTCTATAAAAAAATTAAATGAAAATTTTCTAAAAGAGAAAATTGTCAAATAAACAATGCTCTGTTCCAGAACAATAAGATGTAACAGTTTTTACTACGATAACCGATTCTCCCTTTATGATATAGAAAAAAAAATTGCAAAACTGGTAGATTCTTGCTGGTTCTGGAACAGTACAAAAATATATAGTTTCAAATATATAACTTCAGATTTTCAGGTTGGTGAATCTACTGAAAAATAGCCCCGAGACTATGCTCGCTTCCGAGATAGAGACATGGGCGAAATACGCTCTTTGCTATAAGCTGTCAGATTGTAAACATGTTGCTATGATAATCGATTTACACTTTATGATATCGAATAAATTGCAAAACTAGTAGACTCTGAATCATAGCAAATACTTTCATCTGACTTTGTTTCCCAATTTTAACTTGATTGATTTTCATGGTCACCATCAAGCCAGTTTTAAGTTCGGAGAATTTTCTCTTTTATTATTTTGACCATGATACTGTGAATATATGGCTAGAATTACACAAATAAATTTCCGATTTCAGACCTTTCACCCCCTGCTTTGCACTACCCACACATTTCCAAGAAAAATAAATCCTATCAAATGTGGCAACCCCGCCAAGTGGCTGGTTCACATGTACCGATAGCAAAATGTCGACACTTTTTGATGTTTGTTAAAAGTCGGCCTATAAATCCCTATTCTTTGATTGTGAACAGTGTCATTCCTTTTCAAAGCGAAGTTTTCATTTTTAATTTTCTTTGAGTTTGGTTTCTTTTGATTTTTACAACTAATTGTTCATGAACAATTAACCGAAAGTTAAAAGAATTTCTAAGTTTGTGCCAAAATATATTGCCTAAAAAGTGTTTAAAAACTGATCGAAAGGAAAACAATACAAAAATACACATTAAACAAAACACGGAGAAGAAGCATATGTGGTTGGTAAACGAAACATGAGGCCAAAAGAGACACGAAGATGAAAATAGAGTCGAGTTAACAAAGTGTAAACGTAACGTATTATGTGCTGAATCAATTTTTAATGGAATATCGAAAGAAATTTTGTGGATTGCAGAAATTATATTTAATATACCCAGGAAAATAACAATCTATGGTTTTAACATAAGTGCAGTTATTATGTTAAAACCAATAGACAAATGAAAGTAAAAATGCATTAATGGCCCTAAAGATAATGCTCTTAATGTTCAAAAGGCAACCAGAACTTTAGAACGTATCATTATATGGGATTTATTTCACCATCATGTCTTTTTTGTATGATTTCGGTAAAAGACAACAACACTCTCAGTGCGGCTATAAAACTACTTTAAACCTGATTCATCCGTTATGAGAAATATGACCAAACATCACAAGTCTAGCGAATCCGATGTATGCAGATTATGTCGCTACGTGCCCCAATATTGAGAACATGTCATGCAAGTTCTTCTAATAGACTCATCTAGTTTTAATGTAAAAAACTATCCACAACTATATCAATATCAATGGAAAGTGCTAAGGGTCTCAATTTTAATTAACCTTTTAACTTAAGGATAGATTCAAACATCGGTTATATGACATGCCGGGTATAAAGAAAAAATATCTTTTCGAAAAGAAGTGTTTTGAAGCGTGGGTCTATTCAGGATAATGTGTAAAAAACATTGTGGATGTGGGATATCCACGTGTATTCCGTTAAAACCAGGGTCTCGGGATATATTTATTACAAAATTTTCCAACGCATCCATGAGGGAACTACTTTAAGTAAAGAAAGATTTACAGTTATTTATTTGAAAAATTTCCCTTAACATTCCGTTACGTTAACTCTCCGTCTACGTTACATTTACACTTTGTCTAATTGACCATTAAAGTTCCAGCACAAAAGCAACATCACAAAGAAACGCGCCTTTCAGCTTTCGACTCGTCGACATACAAACGTTGTTTTTTGTGTTTTCACGAAATAAAAGTACATAAAAATTGTTAAAATTAATTATTGTTTGTTTTTTGGTACAGCTTCACAAAGAACGAAGAAAGCAACAAACAAAATTATTAAAAATTAGAAAAAAAAACTTGTGTAAATGTGAAGAAAAGCTACAACAAATATATTCTCTGAGGTCTGCAAAAGAATTGTGTGTTGCGCTAAAAAAGTGACGACCACCAAGACGAAGAACGACGAAGAGAGAAAACAACAGTATCAAAGACCACAAACTGCTAAATTCAATCAAGAAAATAAATATAAGCTGTTGAGAAAAAAGCTGGAAAAACATTACTGCAACTTTCAACTACGTCATACAAGGTAAGCATCAAGTTGACTTTTGTGTGATTTATTTCACTAGAAAAAACCTAAAGAAAAAACAATCTAAACAATTTACAACTACCACTACTACTCCTATTACTACACTACTACTACTGTATGGGGAACAGAGTGAGAGAAGAGTAGTTTGACTTCTCCATTACGTTGCTTTTTTGCGTGTACAAAATCCCCAATTCTTTCTTTTGTGGAGCTTCTTTTGCTTGCAGTTTGTCATCATCTACTACTGCTATTACTTCCACTACAACTGTCATTATTTATTTTGTATATTTATTCACTTATTTTTTGTTTTTTTTTTTTTTGCGTTGGGAGTGAGTCATATTGTGGCAGTAAGTACCTCCATCGTCCGTCGTTGTCGTCGTAGCCAGCCGCCACCACCGTCGCCGCCGGTTCACATCAATTTTTGCATAAATATTTTCCAAGTGTATTCAATTTCAATTTTCTCCTTTTACAATTTTGTTTTTCGAACCACCAACCACCGGTCGGTCTCATTTCATTTTGAGCGACTGTATTTGATTAAAATGTAGCTGTGTGAGAGTGATAGATGTGACGAGAGCGAGAGAGAAAGTGTGTGTGTGGTACGCGCCTGATGAATAGTGGAAGTTTGACAATTCTGACATTGTTTTTCATGTTTTTTAAACTTTGCACCGCATAATTTGTAAGCGTGAGTGTGTGTACATAGGCCGCCGGAGTTGTGAACATGCCTGTACAAAATATTGTACTTATTTGGTACATTTAAAACATAACCTTAAATATAAAACCGGCTTTTAAAAACAATAAAATATACGAAATACACATTACTAATGTGACATTAGTAATGTTTACGAAAATGAATGCTGCAGCAGTAGCTTTGGCGAGCGGAAATTCACAGTTTTCACCACCTATGCTGTATGGAGTCACGTTAAGCCTATCTTCGGAAGCCAAATATCTCGGTACTGTTCTCAACCAACAACTAAATTAGAAGAGGAGTATCGAGGGGCGTGCAAAGATGGGCTTAATCGCACTCTTCTTATGCAAGAGTTCTATAGGAATGAGATGGGGGATAAAACCGTATATTATCGATTTGAAATATGAGTCGTCTGATTCTCAACTTTGGAGCGTTCGTTTTGTGTAAATCGTTAGGGAGTTCAAAGATCAGCATTTCTACTGATCACAGGTGTATTTAGGAGCACGCCACAATCTGCACTAGACACCCTACTTAAATTATATATTGTAGAGAAGCAGACAGCTAGGTGTGCCCTGACACAATCGCGCAGCTAATCCTTTGAGCATTCTGCTGTTTTAAGGCATGTGGAAAACATAGGAGGCGGCGTCATAGCCAGGAACTACATATCACCTAGGCTGAACATTGAATTACTGGACACATCCATATACCTCCATATACCATATACAGCGACATCTTGATCCGGAACGTCCCACCTTTCAAAGGTATAGCCGTCTATATCGATAGTTGAAAGATGGAGAGTGGAACGGGGGTCTTCTGCGAAATATCAAAAACATCCTCAAATTAAAGAATGACTGCAGCGTATTTTAAGTAGAGGTCTTTGTAATCAAAAACGCCATAGATCTGCTGGCAAACAGAAACAGGGAATCGAATGGACGGGTGACTATATATGTCGATAGTAAAGCGGCTCTGAAAGCTCTAAACTCGTATACCATTGATCTATGACAGTTTTAGATTGTAGGAATGCACAGGAAAAGTTAAATCGTCCATTAAGCTTTGTTGGGTTCCAGGCCATTGCAACATCTTTGGCAATGAATAGGCAAGACGTGGATTTGAGTCAATGGATCTAGATATCGTGAACTCCTTGATCCATCCTTGTGCCACTTTACTCCTGGAGATTTCAACAACACTGGCTAAATGGAAGGGGATGCAATTTCTCCATGACTTATAAGAGGGGTGACGACGACACGGACTACTGCAGGCTTCGTCAAGGAGGGGAAGAAACTGAAACGGTAGAGCACTTACTTTGCCACTGTCCAACTCTTTTCGGTTCATTTGTTTTCGTTTTCCGAAGCCGAGCCTAACCTACAAAATGCAAATTTCAATAGAATAAACAATTCTTTCCAACAAAATTGTACACAAAGATACCTGACAATAACTTCAAAGCTAATGCATGTTTAATTTTTTATTTCTTTTTTAATTTATTCGAGTTTAAATATAAACAAACTACTGGAATTTGCCGACCTTAGGAACACTTAAGCTTCTTGATATGATCCAAAAAGTTATGGAGCGCCTCGTAATATTTCTAGTTAAATTATAAAAAAAACTCTCTTAAAATGCCAACTGATTTGAGTTCTACAAAATTTACACTCTTGAAAAATTCCTACCAACATTAAATCTATTTTTCTAAGTCAGTTGGGAATTGTACAATGAATTCAATAACCCTATAAGTTTTCGGGCATCACATATAAAGTGAACGGATTTCACTATTAAATCTCCGAAATTTGCATAATTAATGCTAAACTTATATAATATTCAAATGTGGAATGCTACGAAATATAGGCTTTTAAGAAAAGTTTCGAGATATACATCTACGAAAATCAAAATGCCAGAACTGGTAACTTTTGTGTCCATAACCCGACTTGTTTATCTTCTTGAGCAATAAGGCAAGAAAGTAACTTCAGACAAACAAACCTGTGACTAGACAGCCACGGCTACCACGGATCTACTAATATATGCCATTGACATCAACCAAACCCATCATTTGTTTTTCTCTATTTGAACATCTGTGTTCCCATTCCCGTTTCAACCTAAAAAAGAAACAAAAATAGGAGAGAATTTTCTCAAAATAAGTCTCAACAAAGGACACAGGATTTTTTGTTGTATCCTTTTTTTTTTGGCAATGTCAATGACATCTTGTAAAATGCTTAAAGAGAAATAGAGGGAATTGGTAGATACAACAAAGAAAATGGAGGGAAATTTGATAAATATAAAAATAAAACTATGCTATAAGAAAATGAGCAATTAAAATAGATTTGTTCTAAAGAATTCTCTCAAAAATCCAACATAATGTTTGATGTTGCAAATGTGGAAAGTGCCAAAATATAAAGAACAACCACCAAAAATTAAAAAAATAACATCTGTTCCGACTTCTTGTTCAAATTGGAACGTGCCTTAGCATAATGTTGTGTTAACCCACCACCTTTTTGTTGCCACTGCGTTTTTGTGTTATTGTTACCTAGCTTTTCTTTAATTCTATTTTTTCTTCCTTTGTTTTGAATAGTAAAGGTGTTTTATGCTGCTGCTATCCTAATGCATATGCTCCTGTCCTAATATGATATTTGTTTTGGGGAAGGACACTATGCATATTTCATCATCTGTTGATACTTTTGTTATTATTTGAGAAACTATGTGCAGGATAAATGTTTTGGAATCTTAGTTCATTGGCATGTATGTGCATGCGTAATTTATTCACTTACATGGAGGGGATGTATGATTGTTCCAGTAATGGAAAGAACTGTTTGACTCACGTTTAAAGTCACAACTGGTTTAGGAACAAATTAGCAATTTATTATGTTTTGAGTAAAATTGATTAAATCCAATTCTTAGTTTAAACCATTGCTTTGCAAATCTGGGTTCCAAAGTAGCTTCATATACAGAGTGAGATAAAAAAAACTGCAACAAAGTCAAACGCCATGATTTTTACATTTTTTTAATTTTATTGAATAAAAGCAACAAATTTCGGAAAAAGCATCAAATTTTAGAATGAGTGTAGATTTGTTGGAATTGGTCATCTTTGGCACGAATTATGGCCTTCAAACGGCCAATGAAACCGTCACACGCTGCCCGAATGTTGCTCTGTGGCATTTTGGCGAAGCGCTTGCTTGAGGTGATCGACACTTTGGTATTTTTTAGTGCCAATCTTGCTTTCCAAAGTCCTCCAGACACCATAGTCCAACGGATTGGTATCCGGAGATTTCGGTGGCCATTGTGCGCTAAAATGAAGCTGCTGGACAACGAATGTTTTCTCATTGGAGAAAACCAAATTCGGCAGTTCACCACTTTCAGCCAAGCGAAGCAACTCTTTAGCTCTTTTGAGTCTATTTTCTTTCTGTTGCGGTGTAAGTTCTTGCACTTTTTGGAATTTCAATGGAGCTCATTTTTCAATATTTGACGAATGGAATATTGCGATATGTTCAGCTCACGAGCAATTTTCGGCCACTGCGACGCGGGTTTCGATCAAGTCGCTTCTTTACTTTTCAAACCATTTCTGCTGAGTTTTGCCTTGTTAAGGCGAAGATCATATGTTTTATGATTTAAGTGTTTGATTTCTCTTTCGAGACGAGCTTAATGATCTGAAATTTGCAGTGAAAAGGAAAGCCAGATAGACACTATCACACACTCACCACTATGCGACGTGTTTCGCCGTTGGTTAAGCGGCTCATCAGGCATATTTGGTGTGGATGATGGCTTACAAGGGCCGTTCTCTGGAAAGTAGTATATATTTCGAACTTATTGCAAATTAGCATATGCGAATTATACACTAGAAACTCTCCAGGTTCGACTCAAGTTCTATTGGCAGATCTTTTTCACAGCAAAGTTTTTTGTTTTGTAGTGATGGATTTTTTGTCCACAACAACTACATTGCTTCCAATGCATACACTTGTTTTTTAGTGCTGCTTTAGGAAGACGGGTTAATGGCTCTGAACGTAGAGACGGCAACTTCTAGTTGGCTGCACACAGAATTTTTGAGTTTTGCCTTGTTAAGGCGAAGATCATATGTTTTATGATTTAAGTGTTTGATTTCTCTTTCGAGACGAGCAATTTGCAGTGAAAAGGATGTTGCTGTTTTCTTCCGTTCACTTCCTTGACGTCGGGCTATTCTGCCAGTATCAGGGTAACGAGCGATGGTACTAGACCCAAAAGATTTATTTAAATTTAATTGCTGAAGTGTTCTAACGATAGCCATTTGTGGTTTTCAAGCCAAAAATAAAGAAATCACACTATCACGCTTGAATTCCATCACTAATAACTTTTTTTC